CCCCTCCAAGTGAAAGCAAACTGTGGCCTGCACTCTGCTGCCAAAGGGATTGAGAAAAACACATTAGCGATATCAGTTGTGGCATACCGCTTGGCTGCCTTTGACTCCAGTTCGTATTGAAGTTCTAGCATGTCCGGCACGGCAGCACTCAGCGGTGGCGTGACTTCGTTCAGGCCACAATACTGTCAGTCTCCACTCTCCATTAGACTTTCACACTGGCCATATGGGACTGTTAAAGGGTGAGCGAGTCTTGCTGATCACTCCTTGGCTCTCCAGTCAACGAATCAGCTTATGGATGGGAATCAGGGAGTCTCGGTTGGTGTGATATTGCCGCCAGTGCACCGCTGTGGTGGCAATCAGCACCTGTTGTTCTTCGACCCTCAGCAACCCCACAACAGAATAGTCCTTCGAGAGACCCAGCAAGGTGGACAGCTGTTTAATTTCTTCCGTCTCCAAGGCAGCTATACCAAAAGCCCACCAGTAGTACCCTTTTGGGTCCTTGAAATACCCTCTCCTGAGGCAGTCTATGCCAAGGATGCGCGGAGCCTCTGGGCCAGTCACGATGGGGTGCTTCTGCCACTCATTCCCAGTTAGGCTCACTTCAGCCTCCAGTACAGTTAGCTGTTGGGATCTCCCCATCACTCCAGAAATACAGATGGGTTTTGCCCCTTTATGGCTTTATGGCATTAGGGTACACTGTGCACCAGTGTCCACCAGAGCCTTATACTCCTGTGGGTCTGATGTGCTAGGTCATTGAATCCACACAGTCCAGTAAACCTGGTTGTCCCTTTGCTCCACGTGGCTGGAGGCAGGGCCCCTCTAGTCCTGGTCATAGTGTCCATTACTCACTTCTTGTAAATGCAAATCAAAAGTCCCTTTATTACGATTGGAAGTAAAATCAGCCCTTCTACTCACTGGAAACTGGTGACCTCCAGACGTCACTTCCAACCTTGACCATTCTGTGATTCTGTGAACCTCTCAGCAGTTTTCTTAGGTGGTTTATCTGACTTTCAAAAGCCATTAGTATGAACCCTTTTCTCTGCTGATTTAACAATGCTGCTAAAGAAGTTTCCAGTTAGCATTTCAGAGCACAGCAGAACTGTCTATGATGTGAAATAGAGGATCAGCAATGCAGAGAGTCTCAGTAAATCTGTAGACCTCATTTCTCTGATGCACGTTTTTGTCTCACTTCATAGAAAATAGCTTAGTCACTGTTTTTCATATTTTGGTTGTCTCTTTCCAAATTGCTTGGAGCTCTCATCTGTGCAAAGTACTCTCAAGATTTTTGTCACAGCCTGCTTTTCTCAAAACTCCTAAGAACATCACACACTATTCTGATCACCATTCCATCACTTTTGTGAAATATTCCCTTTGAATACACTTCACTTCTCAGATTATCATTTATAGGTGCTGATTTACTGGCACTTGTGCAGTTATTTTTACCCTGCCATATTTTCACCTCAGTGGGACCTAGTATTTCCTTGCAAGGCTGCAGATCTCATTGCTCTGAGGAGTATTGCCAGACAAATATGTAGGGCTTGCTTATGTTTACAACAGAGGAACAACAGCTCTTTAAAAAGGGGAGCCCCACTAATTTTTATATGCCAGCAGCACATATTATGACACAGATATTTTAATGAAATAAAGAATCTTATGTGTTAGAGTTACACAATTACTGTGACTAATATAACCTCTCCTAAAGATGTCCCTAGTTTTCCTTGTCACAAATGAGGTACTTGTACACTAGTACTAGTGACTGTAGTGTTTGAAATGCAGCTTCCAAGCAGGACAACTTTCTTAAAATTGGTGTGAGCAGTACTGATAAGTAGCATCTACTTAGAAAGGGGTTGAAGTTTTTTAGCTGTGTGATTGAAATGAAAAGAGCTACTGCTTCCAACCATAGTGCCTCACCATGATGCCATGTTAAACTTAACAGAAGTTACTAAGTTGTCCTATGTGGGGTCCCACCCATGGGAGACAGTCCTCCATGAATTTCTCCAACATGGGTCCTTCCCATGGGCTGCAGTTCTTCACGACCTGCTCCAGTGTGGGTCCCCCATGGAGTCACAGGTCCTGCCAGAAAACCTGCTGCAGCATGAGCTCCTCTTCATGGGGCCACAGGTCCTGCCAGGAGCCTGCTCCCTCATGGGCTCTCCACAGGGTCACAGCCTCCTTCAGGGCACATCCACCTGCTCTGGCGTGGGGTCCTCCATGGGCTGCAGAGTGGATATGTGCTCCACTGTGGACCTCCATGGACTCTAGGGGGACCGTCTGCCTCACCATGGTCTTCACCATGGGCTGCAGGGGAATTTCTGCTCTGGTGCCTGGAGCACCTCCTCCCCCTCCTTCTTCACTGACCTTGGTGGCTGCAGGGTTGTTTCTGTCACATATTCTCACTCCTCTCTTCTGACTGCTGCTGGTGTTGCGCGCAGTTTTTCCCCCTTCTTAAATATGTTATCACAGAGGCACTACCTCTGTCGCTGATTGGCTCAGCCTTGGCCGGTGGTGGGTCCATCTTGGAGCCTGCTGGCACTGGCTCTATCGGACATGAGGGAAGCTTCTGGCATCTTCTTACAGAAGCCACCCCTGTAGTCCACCCCTGCTACCGAAACCTTGCCACATAAACCCAAGACACTCTCACACATCTCAAATAGATGCTGGTTTTCTTCTTGGTAGCACTGGGCTCTGATGTTTGCCTACAGGCTTAAGGTGGGTACACATTGCCAATCCTTGCTTTCCTTCAGAGGAATGGTTTCCTGACTGTGAAGCAGGAATTGGTATGCCCCAGTGATGGTGAAAAACAGACCTACCTGCCCTTAAAATAAAGAGAAAATTAATAAGTTCAGTAAAGAAGTCAGTACTGGTAATAGCGGATACCTCAGCCTTGAAAATGGAACCAGTTCAGGCCAAGTCTTCAAGGCTGAAGCTAGAAAAGGAGCATTGCCAACAGAGCCTGTGGCATCTCAGTCTATTTCTACTTTCTGTTCCTTTGTTTCCTCTTGGATTCAGAAGGCTCTCTTCCAAATGCCATGTGCCCTGTGGGAAAAGAGAGCTCCCAAACTGGGGCTAAGAATATTACTATTTAGTATCTTACTTTGATACCTGAAAGGCTGATGTTCATTTTTGTTAAAATTTTCTGTCTGTTCCAGAGCTGGATATGGATCTGGATTCCATACCGCATGCATTTGTAATGGTAGTCCATGTACTGGGATGCTAGTTAATGCAGCTTCGTCAGCGAGAACTTGAATCCATTCCCTTGCATGTCATGTAAGAAAATGAAGTTCTTCCTGGCAGATAGTTCTTTCTCTGTGCCTGATGTTAGGGGGAAATAGACCTTTGCAGGATGGAGAGAGGGAAGTGTTTTGAGGAATCTCACACTGAGGGAAATACAAAGTCACAGGGATTCTTCAGGGCATTCTGAAAACTTTTAACCTGACTGAAGAATAAGCTTGGGACAGAGGTTTCCAGGTTGCATGTTGCTGTGCTGGAGGCTTCATGTTGCTTCAGCAGAAGAGTGAAACTCTCATCTCTGGAGAGGGGAGTAAGCTTATTAGGTGGGAATCTTGTCCTGTTCCTTTCAGTCTCTCTTGGCCCTACTCTTGGCTCTCCCCTCATGTTGGTCCTTTATTTCAAGTTCAGTTTGGTTTCTCAACCAGCTGCATGCACCGCTCCTCAGGTTTCTCCTCGGGGGCACAGTCCCCTGATAGTGCAAGTTCTAGTCCAATGCCCTAGACTCTTGGGCTCAGCTCTCCCCCGAATTTTAGTATCCTTCTCCACCTTATCCTAGTTCTCTGCCAGGCCTACCCCTCCTCAGAAAAAAATCCCATTTTTGTTCACTCTGCCATTTTACCTCAATATGTTTTCCCCCTCAGGCTTATTACGCAGTCTCCAACCCTCTTCCAGCTCTCTGCTTTGCTGCTCCTACCCTTAATCAGTTTGTTCAGACAGCACCTTTTATTTTTGCTGTACCCAGCCTCCTAATCACATTCATCTTTGTTGCCAATGTCTGTTCTTCTCCGCCTTTCAGAGTGTTTGAGTCTTGCTCCTCATCTGTTCTCAGCCCCACACACTCCCTGGCTGTGTTTTGGCTCTTTGCTCTGTCTCAACTTCCTCTGTCTGTTGGTGCCAGTTGTCCCTTCTGCCACCTGGAGAAGGTCTCCTTCTCAGTCATTGTCTTGACATGTTTGCCTCCTCCCTCTCAGACCCAAGGCTGTATCCATGAAAAGACGTGGTCACTTCAACATTGTGTGGAAACAGCGCTCTTGTTGGCTGCCTGCCACTTCCTGTGTTATCTGTTGAGGCTCCTTATTCAACGCGCAGGAAGGTCAAGTACCTCAAAATGGAGTCCATAAGAAATTGTGTGTTGAGTACAAACCTTTCAGTGTTAGCTAGTCAGTAACAGGATACTACTGGAGAAAGGATGAAGATGACATTGTCCGTGTATCAAAACAGGGTTAAAAGGCTCTTATTTGTTCAGTGCTCTACTGAAGCAGCAAACATTTTGATGACTAAATGGTCTTTTCTATCTCTCTAATGCTGAGTGACAGGTGTCTGAATACCCTGGGTTTGGGTATGTACTGCTGTACTTAGCACCTGTGCTTGTTTAAATCCTGCTTTCAGACCCCTCTGGGTCTCAGAATTCAAGTTTCTTCTCTCGTTCACAGACAGATCACCCCATAATCTCATATTTCTTTTGCACCTCCCTTTACCTCTGGGTTTCCCCCCATTCTCAGCTAGCTCCTTCAAAGTCCTCCCTGAGAGCATGTCTTGTTGCTGTTCCTGCTCTGTGTGTGTGTGTGTGTGTGTGTACACGTGTGTGTTCCTTGTCTGCAGAAAATGGTTCCGGGATGGGTGCTCCTTGAAAGCACACAGGCGATAGGCGTCTCGGCCTCGGTGCACACACCTGAACTGAGATCAAACACAGCCCTCAGCAGCCAACCGCTGACATTCCAAAAATGCTTTTGCTCGGATGGGGTTAAAGCATGCTTGGGTACAGATGGACTGGATGGGAAAATATACTGCTGCGATCTCAGCCTCTGCTCAGGAGCTTCATACTGTAGTTCTCTGTGAACTTAAAACATACACAAATTTGTGTGGATTTTGCAAAAGGATAAAGAAGCCACATTCTTGA